AAAACATCCGAATTCTTGTTAAAACCGTATTTACTTGGACAGCTTTAGATCATCATCTACCACATCCTGTCGTGGGCAGCAGAGCCTGTCCCTAAGACACAACCCCTCCTTCTCCCCCAGGCATCGTGGGGCTGTGGTCCCTGGCCATCCTGGCCCTCGAGAGGTACGTTGTGGTCTGCAGACCCCTGGGAGACTTTCGGTTCAAGCACCGACACGCCGTCAGCGGCTGTGCCTTCACCTGGAGCTGGTCACTGCTCTGGACAACCCCACCACTCATGGGCTGGAGCAGCTACGTGCCTGAAGGTAGGAGAGGGGTGCATCAGACTCCACTGGGTCATCTTGCATATGCTTTTGAAGCACAGAGTAGCTGGAGAGTGTCTGTGCCGGAATTTAAAGTGTTGGTATCTCCTGCTGCTCAATAATCCTCCCTGGGAGGTTGTTCTTTGGAAGTTGCCCGCTGCAGGACCTGCTCAGGCTGCTGGAGCGCTCAGAGCGGCATCCAGCATGCAGCCAGCCCAAACCTGCTTCTGTAGGGGCTGAGCTCCAGGAAAAGTGAGAGGTGCTTGGGTGGCATTGCTAAGTGGGGTCAGCACTGGCTGTTTTGGAGCCTGTTACTGAGCCCCTATCCAAACCTGCCGTTGGTTTAGCCTTGTTTCCAAACTTTGTTCCAGGTCTGAGAACCTCCTGTGGGCCCAACTGGTACACGGGTGGCAGCAACAACAACAGCTACATCCTAGCCTTGTTTGTCACCTGCTTTGTGATGCCCCTCAGCCTGATCCTCTTCTCCTACGCCAACCTGTTGATGACCCTGCGAGCGGTAAGCACGGCGGGCACAGGTGAGCTCACGGCTTTCTGCTCACAAAGCAGGTTTTTGTGACGCTCAGTGGAGCTGACACCTCCTGGCACTGACATCGGGGCACCCAAGGGATGGAAATGCTGCTGCAAGTTGCTAACAGGCATCTCTCTCCCTTCCAAACCCCCCGCAGGCTGCGGCGCAGCAGCAGGAGTCGGACACGACGCAGCAGGCGGAGCGGGAGGTGACCCGGATGGTGGTGGCAATGGTGATGGCCTTTCTCATCTGCTGGCTGCCCTACAGCACCTTTGCACTGGTGGTGGCCACCCACAAAGACATCACCATCCAGCCAGCTCTGGCATCTCTGCCCTCCTACTTCTCCAAGACCGCCACAGTTTACAATCCAATAATTTACGTCTTCATGAACAAACAGGTGAGAAAGAGAGAGGAGTCAGCCGGCAAACCACAGCTTCCCTGGGGCTTCTGGAGAACAACTTAATGGGCTCATAAAACATGGAGGAACTTTGTATCCTATCTGGGAGCATAGTCACAGGCTCGATCCCGGATAAGCAGCAAGGTTTTGGGGAATAAATGGAAAGGGAGGGAGCAGCCTGCGAGCCCAAACAAGAGCTCATTTTCCGCTTCCATGATTTTATGGGGTCAGGCAACTTAATGTTAGATCACAAATGGCTCATTGAAGACACAGAACAAACAGAATGAAACTTTTATTGTCAATAAACTGCAAAAAGCGGGGCTGGGAATAGAGATCTCACCCAAAATATAACCAGCGTCCCACCCCTCAGAGGTGACACCAGAATTCTGCCATCACATGTAACCCACCCCTCCCCTGCCCAGTTTCAGAGCTGCCTGCTGCAAATGGTGTGCTGTGGCTACCACCCCCGGGGCACTGGGAAAACCTCTCCGGCTGCCCCCCATCCCCGCCCAGGCGTCGCTGCAGAGGGGCTGCAGAATAAGGTGACGCCGTCTCACCCCGTCTGAGCGCTGCCAGATCCTGCCTGCACCAGCACCAGCGCCAGCTCCAGGCTCTGCCTGGCCCACACAGCCTGGTACAGCACGGGCACAGAGCGGGCTCAGTGCTGGACGTGAGGGGGGGCTCTCAGAGGTTGAAGTCCCCAGCAGTCCACAGGGTTCTCCAAAGAAAGCCATGAGTGTCTTCTTGCGGGAGAGGAGCCACCCATCATGGGATAAACCACAGACTTTTATTTCACTCTCCTAAGGACACCCCCTCCCTTCCAGCCCCTCACCTCGGGCAATTGTGAGCCTTTCAAGAAAAAAAAAATAAATAAAAAAAAAAGAGCAGTATTTTTTCTTCAATGTAAAACATCCCAAGTTGCTGTTTGGCCCAGACGGTCTGGCTGTGATGCCAAACCCCAAGGGGTCTGAGGACAGAGCTGCACATTCCCCATCCTCAGACAGAACAAGTGCTGTTTGTGCTGCCCGAGCTTGCTGTGAAGTTCAAGGTCATGCTGGAAATCTGGCATAAATCCAGCAGGCACGTTTAAGTGCAGACTGTGTTAATAAACATTAATGAACACTAACCAGTTCAGAGGCATCTGTTTTACCAGCTGATAGAGGGTTCGACAGAAAACACATCCCCTCCTAGCACGTCTCTTGTGGCAAGTGCCACATACACCATCATAACAGAGACCAAGAAAAAAAACCCAGTTCAAAATCACAAAAGTATTTTTTTTTAAATATATTTAAGGCAATAAGGAAAGGTCTTAAATCCACTGATTTCCCAGCGAGGGTGAAAACAGGGTTGTAACAGGGCCCCTGAGGTCAAGGTACAACAGAGGCTGCCCATTAACAGGAAACAAAAGATGCCAAAGGCTGCAAGAGTAAAATAAAAGACAAAAAACCTCCGTGGGGCTCCGCAGTTTTACACCTGATCTTGAATGTGTTTATCTTGACAATCACTCTTCTGGTTTGCCAGGCAGATTCCGTGATTTAGGAGCCCAGGGAAAAAGCTTCTAAAGACAATTCTGCAGATAGCAAGTCTCTGAATCTCATTTTTACCCAACTCCTCTATTTTTTAAAAAAAAAAACGGTCTGCCTTCAGAGTTAATTGTCTTTCAAATTTTTGCTCCTGAACACTTGAATTGCTTTCACAATGAGATGATCCACAGTCACAGGGTTCCAAGGCTCTCCCCTCCATGGTTCTATAATTGCACACAGGGATAAGCCCCAAACACGTTCCCTCCTCCTCCCACCCTCTCCCACAGCTTCTGCCGATGCAGCAAAGCCGTGAAGGAGTTAGAGGGAAGCAACGCTCCAAGTTGTTCATCACCTCACTAAATTGCCTCACTAACATGCAGCCCACAGCCCTCCACAGACGGGCAGACCAGCAATCTGCACTGCCACGGATGATGAGGATGAGATGTGGGAGACTGAGGGGTTTTTTTCCTCCAGCTGAGATTCTCTGCTGCAAACCAAGAACAGAACAAAAATCCCCACACCAGACTGGTACAAAGGAGTGAAACAAGCAGGACGGGGCTTGTAGCAACCTGGTCCAGTGGAAGGTGTCCCTGCCCATGGCAGGGAGTTGGGAGTAAATGATCTTTATGGTTCCTTTCAACCCAAACCATTCCACGACTCTGTGACCTGCCAGTGCAGGGGGACAGGACATTCATCCTCATCCCCATCCCTGTGTCTCAACCTCCCTCTCTCCACTTGCTTTCCTACGTGCAGAACAGCTCAGCTTGCACGTGAGCGGCTCAGAGAGGAATTAGAACAGCTCAATATCACTGTTTTAATTTAATTAATTGGCCTTTCATTCTCTGGGAAGCTGAAAAGCAGCATTAGATGGGCCCCTCTGATCTTCTCTGCAGTCTTGCACTGGTCCTTGTTTAATTGTTTCTGTTAATTACAGCTTTTGTGCCCATGCTTTTTGTGATCTGGATGATTTACAGTCATGCTAAACTTAAATCTGGAAAATACAAGCGGGTGAAAAACTGAAATCTCTGTTGTGTTCTGGCCTTGATAAGGAGAGCAGACAGGCTATGGGGCTACTTGAAAGGCTCTCTACCAACAGAAATAAAAATTCTCCACATTAAGATTAAAAAAAGATAGGGAAATGGTTCACAGTCTGCTCACCATTTGGTCCGACAGATAAAATAGAACAAGAAATCCAAGGAGCTGAGGAGATTTCACATGTTGCAGACCAAAGTGATACATAATTACGTGCATGCAAAAACTCACGTGTGCCCCCCTCCACCACCCTGTTGCAGCCCTACGGGCTTTAATTACTTTTTATTTAATTGAGCAAGTCTGAAACACAACGAAACGTTGTCAAAGCGAGAGGGAATGACCCTCAGCTATGAGTCACAAGCCACCAAGGACAGAATCACACCACAAATTTGCAGTTTCACTTTTGCATGTGAGTCGCTTCCCTCTGTTCCTCCAGTGTAACACAAGGCTCTGCTCAGCCCCAGGGCCATGAGGAGCAGGATCTTGTTACAGTAGCTTCTATCAGGAATATAAAGTTCTTCTGCCTGCAGCTCACAAAGCTCCCAAACAGAGAAACCAGTTGGTATGAGCCCGGGTTAGAAAATATTCAACATGTGCTTAGTATTTTTCTATTTATATTTATATTTAAATTTCATATTAGTATTTATATTTTGCAGTTTATATTAAAATTATATTTAAATACTTCTATATTTAGCTTTAAATCTTTGCTTCATATTTATATTTAATTATATATTTAATACTTGCTTAATACTCTTCTACTTAGATTTTAATTTTAGATTCGTGTTTATATTTCATATTTTACTTACATTAAAATTCATATTTAAATGTTTTATACATTTATATTTAAACCTTTGCTTAGCATTTTTGATGTGATGCACAGGGGTGAACCCCATTCCCAGGCACTGGCCCTGCTGTTATCTCGAGGTGCAGAATTCCAATCCCAGCCTCCTTGCTGCTGGCACTTCTGGTCCAGCTCTGTCACTATCACAACATGATAAATGGATGAAAGATTTCTATTTTCTCTTGATCTTTTCTGAAGAAAGCTCCCCCACCTCTGCCAGTCTGCAGCACCTTCCCTGGAGCAGCTCCATCAGTACCTGGTTGTGTCATGGTCTGATGATGGGAAACATTATTAATAACAAGTAAAAAACCCAACAAAACAGACCCAAAGAAGAACCTCCAAACCAAAAAAAAAAAAAAAAAAAAGAACGACATGACAGCACAATAACTTGGAAACTTTTATTAGTGTTGTTAAACCAAATTAACAAACAGTTACAGATGGGGAGCATTTCTTTACAAAAACAGGAGTGAAGAGGCAAACGTGGCACACCCAGATGTACAAAACCAGCTAAAATCCCTGTGTGTGTTAGACAGGGAACAGGACAATCCTCCCTCCTGCAGGTGAACAGAATTTATCATATATGAAGTCATATTTATCAAATATGAAGTTGCTGTGCCCATCAATATCTTAATCCAAAGCTCAATTATGTTCATTTTTTTTAATCCATCCTACCAAAAACGTGGTTGAATTAAACAACAGGTATCTTTTCCACATTTTCTCATATTCTTGTCTAATGCTGGCAGGGAACATATTGCTGCACTTGCAATCTCTGGAGAACACTGCTTTTTTCCTCATTAGCTTTTTGCACAGCAATTAATCCCCTTAATCAGTCAAATCAGTTCAACACTAGATCACAAAAGCACTAAGTAAAGAGAAAACAAGAAATTACCTTGTTAAATTTAATGAGCAAGGAAAAACACACACTACATGGGCTGTAAAAGTGCTCCACACTCCAGTATGGAAAAATTCCAGTGCCTGAGCAGCACCAGCAGCCCACAGAATTCCAATCATTCTGTTTGCAACACCAAAAACTGCATAATGCAACAAAATTATTGTGCTTATGAAAATGGGCACGTGCAGGAGAAAAACCACCACGTAGCAGGTTCACAAGGATGTGATATTGGGAAAACACTTCAGTTCTGCAATATTGGTACTGCTTGTGATATTGATACTGCAGTGATGGCATAAAACCAGTACAAACAGTATTATAACATAGAACATCAGATTTTCTTCTGTACTTGCTGCTGCAGTTAAAAGAAGTCTGGGCTTTACAATTGTTTATGTGGCAAAAAAACCCCTGCAATTCAGAGGCTGAACAAACAGCAGTAAGCATATGATGGGTTAGAACTTATTCATTATCCATTTTAATCACAGAGAGAGTTCTCATCCAAAACAATTATCCTGTATGGGGGAAAAACAAGAAGAAAAAAAAAAGGTTACACAGTTGTTTTTTTTCTTATATTGAACTACAGGTTGAAGGGAATGGTGCCTCTCTCACCTGGAAAACAGGAATGTATCTCATGCAGCCAGAGAACAGACAAACTACTACCAAAAACCCAGTTTAACTCACAGAGAGTCTCACCTGAAGGCCGAAGCTGAAGACAGCTGCTGCTGCTGCAAGTGGGATGTCTGATCTTTGGGATGTTTGTCTAAAAAAAAAACATGTAAATTGAGCTCAGAACCAAGAGGAACATGCACAACAACAACACTTCAGAGAGAAGTCAGCACACAGCAGCACACGAATTAGGTGCTACAGATCTCTCTGCTTTGTCCATGAAGTCACATTTAGTAACCAGAGCCCAACCCCAGCTCTGCTGCTCCTGGGGCATCACACAGGGCCCTCACCGGGATCAGAAATCAATCCTGTTTCCCAAACCTGAAGCCCAATCCCTGCCAGCCCAGGTCTAGGGGCCTGACAGAAAACAGGGGTGTATCTGCTAATGCTGTGCAAACAATGAGCACAATGATGTTACCCTTGGATGTTACTTCTACATTTAAAAAAACTACCATCAACATTTCCAAATGTAACCAGTGATTTGGGACAAACTCTGGGTGCATCCAGCAGCTTTACAGACAAAGAGCACCTGCTGAAGTCCCTGCACAGCTTTCTGGCGCTCTGCTTCCAGCCCCAGCTCCTCTTTCCTCTACTCCATTCTTCCTTCCAGTATCTTCTGGATCCTGCAGGCTTGCAGCCCTTGAATGACAGAGTTTTGTGTATGATCCTAATTTTTCCTCACTTTTTTTTTTTTTTTGTTTCAGACAGGATGAAACAGAGCACTAAACCAGAAGCCTCTGGATACACCACATGCCTTTTTGTTTTTATCCTGATCTATAATGTGCATTTGCCTTCCCCAACCCCCAAACAAATTGGTTTTCCCATCCAAAACTGATGTGCTTTAGCTTTACATCCACACACAGACTCCAATGATTCTTTATACAACAGCATGAAGTAAATGTACTCTGACTACAGAGCACAGGGCTTTGGATCAACAGGGAAGTACAGGAATTGCTCTGCTCTGTTGGCAGGATCCTCCTGGTTATTGTGACATTTGCCTTCTGTGTGCAATTAAAAATAAAAAATTCCTGATGCCAAACACAAGAATGTCTCATGTTCCTCAGTGAGACAGATGTGAGGAATGACTTCTGACCACTCACTCACTGGCATTTACTGTGGAGTTGTTCAGAGTTACTGGGCTCTGATCTTTAGTTATAACAGGACAAAAGTTATTTTTGGGCTATGAATCTTTTCTTTAAAATCCTGTATATATAACTTCTGCCACTTTCTTCATTTCCTAATATGCTGACATGAAAACATAACCATTTTCCCAAACTCTTCTTTGCAAAGAGTTTTCCTGATGCTGTTCTCTTAATGTACATTTTCTCCATCTCAAAAAAAAAATCCCCCATTCTGTCAAATTATCTCTGATTTCTGTGAACACTAAGCACTGCCTTCCAAACCAACTGAAGTATTTGCTTTCCACCTACGGGAAATTATATTAACAAAACATTCTTTTCCCTCTCAGTTTAGCACAAAGAGTTCACATTGATGTCTCCAGGGAAGTTCCCTGACACGTTTCTGTCTAAGGACTGACAACCCATCTTCTGAGAAGTCCTGCATAGGTCCATACCCACAACACAAAATAAACTTGTGAACACAATACAAATTATCTGCTAACCCAAGAGTGTGTCCCCGAGGTTGTTCTTGTATCTCCTCGTCTCCAGGAACTGCATGGAGCATTCTTTCTAAAATATCATCAAGAGTAGAGTGAGCCCTGTTAAATAAAAGATTAAAAAAATTATGGTGATAAGTAAAATACTACAAATTTCAAAACAAACCAGTCATAATTACCAGGGTATTTAAAGCTCGCTTCTGTAAGCATTGAGTCTTGTTAAAATATGCTGAAACCATAATTCTAAACATTTGTAACTCAAATACAAACATGTTTTATCATCCTTTTTTCATACCTTTCTGTGTCCTCTGCTAGAGTGAATGACTCCTTAGTCCATGAACTCTGATTTTGCTTCTCATTTCTCTCAGATTCTTCTTCTGACTCTCTGTTTTCCATTCTAATTTGATTGGGAACTACTCACATAAACAGAAAGATTTTAATATCAAAGGCATGTAGGGAGATAACAAAGGAATTAAAATGTGGGTTTATTTACTGCACTTGGGTAAGCTTCCAGTTGTCCACTTCTCAATTACTCTTCCCTCAGTCTCCTGATTTTCCACCAGTTAAGCAAATTCACATTATCCACAGCCAAAGGTGGCCAGCAGCAAGGCCTAGATAAATATTTCACTCTAACACGTTTTCAGATTCACAGGACTGAACATTTCCCTTCGTACTAAAATGAAAAATGCATGGGGAAAATCAATCTTTAATCTCTCCCCCTTACAATCCCAGATATGGGAGAGAAATCAAAGGAAAACCTGTGGCTGTTTGCTTTGTTACCCTACTTAGCAAAACCCAGCGATATCCCCCCCCGGACTTATCGGCAAGTTCTGTTCCCTACAGCCTGGGAATAAATTCAGCACCTTCTGCTGCGCTATGATAAGCAGGAAGCAGGAGGCTGTCACAAAAAATGGAGTCTGAAATAGCTGTGCTTTATGCAAATACAACAAAACCCACAGTGAGTGAACAACTGCTGCAGTCCTCACCACCTAAAAACAAGATACTCCCCTGAATAAAGCCAAGGGAGCTTCTGTCCTTCAGGAAAAGATCTAACAGAGTTGGAGGATAACACAAACAAGTGCCAGCATCATTCTCAAGTGACTCTGCTATTTAGCTTTTTACAGACTTAACTCATGTTCTGCCTTTTTTTTTTTTCCCTTTTTGTCTTTTTTTTTTTTTTTCTTTTTCACTGCTGTTCACTTTGTGACTCACTGGGGAAGAAAAGGCACAGCCTATAAACATTTTGGTTTCCTGCTCCTCTGACAGGACGTGTAAAAATGATTCCCACTTAGTGTACCATTTGCAGTTGCAGAAGCACAAAGATTCACCACTTCAGTGTCTTTGTAACAGAACAGGAAACACAATATTCATGGGGAAGCTATTTTCTTACACTGTGAGATCAGAGGAATTATTTCATGATGGAGGATTAGGAACATTAGCAGCTAGTGCTGTGCACTGGCCACTTTTTTAACTGAATCACCCTCCCAGAATGGAAACTACAGCTCTGTTTGACATCACCTGCCCACCACCTTCACTTTTTGTGGGTTTTGGCACCTGTGTTTGAACTACAGTGGCATAATAAAAGTAGGAAATTAATTCCCACAGTTAGACCTGCAAACCTCCCACACCAGATCCCCGTGGACTTCAGAGGGAACACACCAGGAAAGGCAGCAAACACTGGTGGAGGGGGTACTAAGCTAAAAATTGCACTGCATTGTACAGCTGAACATAGAGTGACAAGTATTCAGAGTCATTTTACAGCAATGCAAAGGGAAAATTCTATTTTTAATCCCTACATTAGGACTATTATCAACTAACCATTCATTTGCACTCCACAGTCCTGCAGTCCCACCTCTTTCAGGTCTGGAGTGATGGAATCTTGCTGCTTTAAGAGTTCTGTTAAAAACAGCACATTCCTTATTGATCTGGGTGCTCTAACTTGGTTCTATCCACTCCAAAGTACCATATGATTTATCCATCCAGCCCCACACGAAAACCCTTACAGGATCTACAATTAGTTCACACTTTAATCCTAAAAATTTCCCCTGACCATCATTTATTCACTTGATGCCAATTTCCACGTTGTTTTGGTGAACAGGGAAATAAGATCAGGATGTGCCTGGGTGTCTCATTCCTAAAGCACCTATGGATATTTAATTATGCCAGTGTCTGGTGTTAATTTAGGCAGAGTTTATCACTGAACAAGCAAAGCAAACTCCTCTGTAACACCCTCCCAGCGAAAACAATGCAGAGTTTTCACACCTTCTGTCTGAAGATGCATGTGAATACAAAAAGAAATGTAAATCACAGAGATTAAGCTCTGCACAAGGACCTGAGGGGTGCAGCTGCCTCCTAATGGAGAACACACATTGCTCCAGGACAACTTTGAAAAATTCAGTGTACACAAAATTATCTCCACGTTAAACTACATCTGCACTGGCTGTGCTGGCTGTGCTGGCTGTGCTGGCTGCTGTCAGCAGCAACCAACCCACGAAGTGAAAAGCAGAAGCTTCAAGGACTGCCAGTTGTTTAAGCTGTTGATGCCCAACTTCCTAATCATTGACTGCAACTCATCTGGAAGCTCTCATGTATTTTGGGCAGTGAATGGTTTGGGAGGAATCCTGATTGAACACAGCTGGGAAGCCTCACACCGTTCTGGGTGAAGTGCCTCTTACCAATCTCATCCAGCAGCTCTTGGACTGGTGGAGGCAGCTCATCAATGGAGGGTTGAGATGCCTCAGAGAGTGCTGAGACAGAGGGGAAAAAAAAATCCAGTTAATTAGCAGTGATTAATCCTTAATAACTGTGACATGGGCTTACATTTTGATAGCATCTTGCTTACAGACTTCATTTAACGCCCTGCACGAGCCTGGCTCATTCACATTTTATCAAATATCCTGAAATAATTTCATAATGGAAAAACCATTGAGAGCCAGACTTGCACGTTCAGTTCTCAATCCTGTGTCAGAAATCTGAGGCCAGTAATATTTACACTTCAAACACAGGTTGATTAGAGGTCAGAGTTCTTAGTCTGCAGGTGCAAACACAAAATCCATAACCTAATTAGCACTAGCAGTACCCAGTTATTTATCTGTGTACAAAAGCTATTTATCCCTATAAAACAAGATGGCCAGGAGGAAAAAGGGGGAAAAAAAGAAATAAACTGCAAAATTTCCTTTCCAGTGTGTTTCTTTGTTTATTGATCCATTTATTTGGGTTGGGATAAAAGACTTACCAGGTGCCTGCCTGGTGTTCCTCAAGGATGGAACAACTGGTGGCAACCCAGCCTGCGTAAGACCAAACAGAATGAAACACAGGAAGGTAAAATTGGTAAACTGCTGATCTTCAATCCTCCCCTTCAACATATTAAACCCAAAATAAGGTAGAGCCTTCAGTTAAAGCCTTGGCTGAACATTAAATTTTAAAATAAGGTTTTCAATCAGTTCAGAATATGGAAACAGAGTAAGGTAAGCCACCCAGGGTAGCCAGATGTGCCAAAAATTTTGGCTAGGCTGCTGTGCACTCATCTTTTAGCTGGTCATACATGATCTTTATCCATTTGAACACTTTGAATGGACAACTGGATGGGAATTCTCTGAAAGGACCGTTCCAGTACCTCTTCATTCTCTGCTTGGAATCTTTAATTATTAAAGCCAGACACACCTATTTACCAGAGAGCCCCCCCAAAAAATCAAGGATTTGTAACCATAGGCAAGCTCTCAAAATGGAAACAGGGGCTTCATGCTCTTAATTCTAGAATAAGATTTTAGGCAAGGAAGTGACACAATCAGGGAGGGATCTCTGCAGAGCCAGGCAGGGCAGCTCTGCACTGGGAATGGGTTTAATGAATTCCCACCCTGCCACAGGAGCAGAACACCCAGACCCAACCTGTGTCAGGTCAGTCAGGCAATGAACAGACACTGCTGCTCTGGCAGAACAAACTCCAATTTAATCTCTAAATGACAAACCCCATCAGTGAATAATAATAAGAAAGGTGTAAAGGCAAGTATTTTATATCAAACTGTCAGGGAAGGCAGTTAAGATAATGCTGTGGCTCAAGAACACCTTCAGTTCCAAACAGATTACTGGAAATTACTCCAGTGACCTTGGAAACTGTCAGCTCCAAACTGATTTTCTGACACAACAAAGCTGATGACATTATGCCAAAAAGGACATTATGTCCAAAAAGGACAAACTTAACCCCCTCAGACAAGGGCTAATTTACTTTCTCCCACCAAGTTCTGAGGGCTCTTCACTTCCACATGAAGACTTTCATGCTCATGTGTTTATTTTCATTTGAGTTTATTCCCAACTTCCACGTCAAAGGCCTGTGGTTCCCAAATCCCTTGTGAACGCAGGGGGGTTCAGGTTGTTGCCCCATCCAGAAGAACAACTGATGAACTCCCTCCCTGCCCAACCAAAACTCACCTTTTCAACCCAACCACTCTGCAGGTATTTACCACCCTGGTGTTCCAAGATCACCAGATCCAAAAAGACTGGGAAATGGCAATTCCTTACAGCCAGGGAAAGGCCACTCTGACAGTGGTCAACATTTACATCCAATTAGGTGCAAGAGGAAGCCAACTCTTTGTACCATCAGTGGCAACACTGCTTTGAATTCAATCAGCCCTTCTGCCATTGTATCAACAGATCCAGGATTCCAAAATCCTCACAAAGACCTACAAGTATTTCTGCACTTCTCTTGTTGCATTTATTTTTAGGAAAAGTATTTAAAAAAATATTTTAAAGGATGGCTGGCATAAACTAGAATTTCTGACTTACAGGCTCTTTCAGTTCAAACTGGCAAACTCTTGAAGCAGCCCCTGGAATTTCCATGCTCCTTTCCCCTTCATAGGCTGTAGTGAATGTCTTGAACATTGTGGAGGAGGCCTCTTGAGAACCACACAGGGAAAAATCTGAAGCTAATTCATGGTAGTGTTTGTATTTCTCAAAGGCTAATGGAACTTTTTCTTCTAGAATTTAAAAAAAAAAAAAAAGCAAAGCTGGAAAATTATTTTTGGAATTTTTTTCATCTTTATTAATTTCAAGAGAAGCAGAAAAAAAGTCAAAAGAGAACAGGCACCTGCACAAGAAACCCTAAAAAACCAGTATCCATAAGTGACCTCTAAATAGAAGACCAACTGAAGTTCCACCTCAGACCTTATTTATGCACAACTGCCAACTGAGGAATTCCAACTCCTGTGTTACACCAAATTAATGAAGTGGAAAGCAAATGATAAATCACTTGAACACCTGAATTCAACAAACATTGAGATCACTTTATCAACACTCTAAACACCCTGAGTGCTTATTTACATTGTCTTTAAAACGCTAAAATCCACTTCAATTTTAAATATCTAAAACAACATCTGATTTATGAAGGCTGCCATTAACTACTAAGCAATCATCTTTCAGAGACCTTTCATACAGTGCTTTTTTCAGCTGCAAATTCTCCTTTAGTTCCGTGTCAGAGATGCCCTTTGTCAGTGAGATTTCAAACATTTCTTGTGGTTACTCATTCCCAGCCTGACATTCCTGCACTGGCACCGTGTGAATGGAGCCTCCAGGACTCACCCCGATGGAAAGGTGAAGTAATTCCCTGTGAATCCTCCCCTCCCTGCATTACCTGAGCCAAGGGGAGTGCTGACACTGGTCGGTGCATGGCTCAGCCTGGGTGTTTTACACTCCACATCCCTCTGGAAGTTCTCCTGCTCACAGGGGATACTGGACAAATCCTGAATATCTGCCACTGATCTGAATTATTGAAAGATGTTCTGACAGTTAGAATAGCCGCTTCCTGCATCTGTGAATCACCAGCTTCTGCTATTTTCAGGCTCTTTAAATTTTAATTTCGGTCGGTCTTATCTAGTTCACCAGAGGGAAGAGAGATATTCCCTTCGAAAACTTCCCAGAGAATTCTTGGAAGGTTCAAGATCACCATCTCCAATAATGTTGCAGAGACAGAAAAGGTTAATTATTTGCTTTCCCTTCCTTTACAGGATTTCTTAAATAACCCTCCTATAAAAGCAAGCTCAGGAAACAGCCTCCAGAAAGGGCAAGAACTTCAAAAGGGAACCACAAAGTAAAAAACTCTCCAAAGCCCAGGGAAAACCTCAAGGGTTAACAAAAATTAACAGCCCATTAAATAAGACTAATTGTAGGTTTAAGGAGCCTTTAAAAGAATTACTCAGATAAACTGAAACTGCTGAAGATGCACAAGGCAGTGACACACACCCAGGTTACAAAAAAAATGTAATCCCAGGACTGGGAATTATATTAAGCAAACCAACATTTTGTGCAGAAACACCCTGGATTACATCGTCCTCAGAAGGCCATGAAAGGACAGATCTACTGGTACCAAATCAGGAATTTCATGCAAATCTCCATTATCTGTAAAAATAAACTCACTTTATTAGTCGAGTCACAAACACATCCTGCAAAATTTTGTTCCTGAAAATCGCGGGACTATTTTTGTGATGAAATTTTATTTGGCTCCACGGTAACGATTTGCTCTTTAAAGTGATTTTATTTCCTCTGTGCCATATGGAGAGAAGAAACGAGGAATCCTAACACTTGAATGCGAAGATTAACACCCAGTTAATTACTTATGAATATGAAAATATTTCAAACTAAGGACAACTGTCTGTGATAGCTCTTTTATACCAATCTCACAACTTATGACGAGAAAATACTCTTTCAGTACTCTGGAGAGTTTTCTTTCTCTCAGCTTTGGTTTGTCTCATCTCCCTGTTTTGCACCAACACAGAACTTTCACAGTGATAATGATCAGCTTGCTGAAATTTTGGTATAATATGGTCTTACACATCTTTTTCTTGGCATCCTTCCTGTGGCTCCCACAGCATCGCTTCTCGTGCTGCATCAACACTGAAATGAGGGAAGAAAGGTCTTATTCACTCTCTGAAAGTTATGAAAATGGAAGCATTTAGTCTCTTCTCTCAAAAAAAATTTAAAGAACTGCCTTCTCTCTGAGGCAGACCGAGGCTCACAGAAACTTTTTGCTTAAAACGTTAGAAATATGGAGAATGGTAGGAGACAAATGTCATTTTAAACAGATGATGGATTTGTATTCAGTAAGGAGGAAATTTCTAATTGACATACAGGGCTTCAAAGCAAAACTGAAAGTTAAATAAAAATCCACGAATACAAATCATCAGGTTGTTTTATCATCCTCTGATCTGTTTTGTAAGGTATTCTCTCCAACTGTGACAAGGCCATTCAAGGTCAGAGGGGATTAGTCAGATCAGGGGAGGAACAGCCCTCTCTGCCCTGCTGGCAAAAGCTCAGTTCCAAAGTGAACGGAGCAACCAAAACTTTTACCTTGAAGCCAAGTCATTCCCACACTTTCTGCCTACCTTTGAGACAGGTATCTCAGTTTTTCAGGTGGAGAGGAGGGAGGACAACACTGACAGAGAGAAGAGCTCTCACTCCCACACTGAGAGTGTGAGCAGCTCCAGCTCTCCAGTAACACAAGGAAAGCTGAGCTACAGGGAGCACTGGAGCTTTTAAAAAGCCTCAAAGCCACTGCTCAAAGACTTTCACTTAAAAAATCCTTGCCCTGAACATCCCCCCTTGCAGCACGAGGTCACTCTGGCCAACTTCTCTACGTGACAGTAAAACATAAAATTTACAAAACGCTGGACATAAAAACCTCCTGTTTGACAGATGAGCCTGCAAGTCTCCAGGCACGGGCTGATGTTACCTGCAGGCAAGATCCAGCGAGCAAACTTCCATCAGACTGCTCCCACAGGAGCAGGGAGGGGAAAAGGCACGATCTTCATGCCACTTGAGCTCCGAAACCAAAGCACAACAAAATTAAAACAGATGACTGAAGCCTTAATTTGAATTAGCTTTGCTCTGTTAAAAGGAATTGTGATGTGAACGTGACTTTATTTTTCCTATTTTAGCTCCCTCATTAAGCAGAAAAACCCACCGAACACTGTAAAAGACAAAACCCCTCGAGACTTGTGAAGTCCTTTTCTTGGCAAGGAGCTGAGATATGTAGATAATCATTAAAAACCACCACTGGCATCTTATTTGAATATTAGATATATAAGCAGAATTAATGAAGAGAGCACACTTTATCATCCAATTTATGCTTGAAGGAACAATGAAAATGAGTCTCTCTACCTGACTACAGGCATTTGGCTCAGTCGATTCACTCCCAGCTTGTTACTGCCACACTTCTGTGTTCCTGTGCTGCAGAACAGCCTTTTTCCTCCTGAATACAAATAACAAATGTTCCCCGTTATTGGGTTTTGCAAGTACAAAAGAAAACAACAAAACTCATTGAACAGGAAATTGCAACTTTATTAAATTTTTTTCGGTTCTTGTGACCTTTGTTGTTATCAAGAGACAAATGTGTTTTAAAGATGCATTTTCATAAACATATCCCAGCTGCCAGACAGTCACTGAAGCACTGGGGAATATCACAACATTTACAAGTTTGAGCTAAAGGAGACAACAGACCAGAGAAACAATGATGATTCTTCCATTATTCTGCACACGCACTATCAGCTCTTACAGTCTTTAAGCCCAAGATCCTCCTGGCAATAAGAATATTAATGTGTAAATACAACTTCAATTCAGTTTCCAGCGCCACAGCAAGTTGCATAAAAAGATTAAATGTAGCCTCGGGGTAAAAAACAAAAAAAAAAGGTTCTAAACAACTTTTGGTTTGGCTTTTTAACTGAAGCACAGCAAGTACAAAACCATGGCATTCAAAAACATTCCAGGCACTGCAATGCCCAAACCTCACCTTCCAAAATTCTCAATGTCCTGAACACTCACTAAAATAACGAGGAATAAGAGACCAAGTGACCCTAAAGGATTAAACTCCAGCCTTTTGACAGGAGTGCTGCTGGCAAAAGTGTAAGTGCAACAAGACTCAGTGCCCTGAGTCAGAAATGCTTCAAAACAAAGAGCACATTTACCTGAAGTCTGAACACTTGATTTTGCATCTTTAGGCAGTTTCTGTAAAAGTCCTTCACAAGCATCTTCTGATTTGCCCTCAGTATCTGAAGTCTGAAAGAGGGAAAAAAAGGAAATTAATTCAATTTCTGACAGGAAGCTGCAAAGGGCAGGAGAACCCTCATGGGATGATGTTCCCAAGAATCAGAATGGAGAGACAAACAAGAGCTCATCAAAAAACAGCCAAGATTGGATTTAATAGTCTCTACAAAATTTAGAATCTTCAAGAAATTAAGGAAGACTGTTTTAAGACTATTGAACACCATCATTGATAGAGCTGTGAAGGAAAGGCTGAGATTATCAACTACCAAAAATTTTTCTCAATTACATAGTAAATAAATTAATAAAACATACCCCTGCTGTTTTGGGAGTCTGGGTGTTTGTGGGGTTTTAATTGTTTGGGGGTTTAGAGCTTTTAGGGGGCGTAGGGTATGTGTTTTAAAGAAACAGTTAGAATTTTCTTAGTTTTATCTATAGCTTTACTTGGAGATATTATTTCAAATGAAAAGAATAAAAACTAAAAATCATTCTCCTACTTTCCACAGCTCTCTCCAAACCAAATGGGAGCACAATTACACATGTTGAGTAACTTAGGTCCAAAGTCTTTTCTGTTATTTTTACCTCTAGTTCTGAACTTCCCTCAGGAGGAAGGAAATAATCAGGAGTGAAGAATTCTTCAGACACATCAGGAGGTGAACTAAGGGAACAATGCAATTCCCTCGAATGTCCCTGTGAAAGACATCATCACCTGAGATGCTTTCCCCACTCTATTAATAAAGAAATCACATTTCACTCAATAAACAACAGAGCAAACTGAAATTCCACAGACTTTGCTCACTCCGAGTTTCATCCTGCATTACATTATCTGTTCCTTACATTACCTTGATGGTTTGTAGAACCAAACAACAACAAAAAAAAGGGGGACTGTTACTCAGATCAGCAGCCAGGCTGAACTGTTCCACAGACAACTAACTGCACCTGGATTCCTTGGATTTCTGTATGTACCCTAGAGAGATTCTCAACTTGTTGAGGAAGGACTGAGTTCTTATGAATGGCTATTCCAGACTCTGCTTGTTCATCCTGTGATGGCAACTGGCACCTCCTCCCTAGGATGTCAGAATGGAAAGAAATTATTAGGCAAAAAATAACATGGGGTGATCTGAGCCACTGATGGAATATCAATGAGAGCAGACAGTAACACTAATTGTCTGTCAGGAACATGGAGAAACGATGACATTTAAATGCTCCCCTCGTTAATCCAGGCAGGGGAACCTTTCCTTGTTCTTCTATCCATGAGTATTACAAAAGCACTACCCACTAAGCTGCTACAGAAAAAGCATCTCTGTGCTCAGACTGAAAGAAATAAAGTGTGAAAACACTGGTGGAACTGTAAACTTTGGGTCTCCCATGCTGGTACATGACAGTAATCAATGGTGATGAAGGGTCTCCAAGCTCACTGGGAGTTACCTCCCCCTATTAACACCTAATACTCATCTTACTCTGTTCTTTATGTTCATCAAAGACTGAGTGATTGACCAGCTTAGGGGGCAAGATCTGCAAGATAACACTGACAATTCTTGTCACAAAATCACAGCAGCTGAGAACTGACTGGAGATGGGAGACAAAAAAAGAAGAAAGGTTTTCTTTGCTCCTCAACCTCACCTGCAGAACTTCTGAGTGCAGATTCCAGATCACTCTCCTCGGATTCAGTTCTCTCCTCCCTGCCAGGATTCCAGGGCACAACATCATCCCCTGGCTGCCACATACATCTTTGTTGGGCTTGTCTTTTTTGGGCTCTAGCAGTGACGTGTTGGAAGGGTTCCTTTGCACTCTCTGCTTCACTCTCAGATGTCCCTTCACTGGCTGGACAGGGACAGCTGAGCTCCAGCTCTCCTGAGGCCACTCTTCTGGCCATTCGCTTCACTTCAGCTACAACACAAAATGAACAAAGCTGTCAGTTCATACAACAGAACCTGGACCTTTCAAAGCATTCCCCGTGTTTCACTGTGCCTGCAGACTTGGAAATGCTCAAGTTATACCTTGTAAACACCTTTGTCATGAAAAGAGCTAAACATTCCCTTCCATTTTAAGGGAAGCTTTAAAACCTGCAGGAATTTGATATGGACAAGTCTTTACGTGAACAGTTTTGGTTGGTTTGATCCTCTATTATCCATGCCCGTGCTGCCATCCACTGGTCACTGCCATCCTGCCCTTCCTAAATCCACACACTGTCCAAAACAAGGCTAGAAATTCCTTCAGCTACAGAAATCAAACCATCTTAATGTGGTTGTGATTATTTTATGCTCCGAATGTGCAAGACACAGGATCCCACTCACTTGGTTTTCATCCAAGAACAATCCAAGAGATCTTCAGCAATTAAGACAAACAGAGCTTTCTTCATTAAGAAACAAAGTGTTAAGTTTTAATGCACTGCAGTAAGACTTGATATTAATGCTGATTTAACGGTGATTTACTTACTCCTCCAGTCTGGTTGCATCATCCTCCTCTCCTCAGTTATTTTTTTGCTGTAAAATTCAGATCTTGGCTTTGAATAGCTCCTGCAATAAATGGTTATGAAATGCACAACCTCTGTTAATGCACAAGTGTATTGTGTTAAGTATTCCCCAGCCAGTAAAAGACTAGAAGTTGTTTTAACATTAATTAGAACACGTGTGCTCTCAGCCTTTTAACAACCCAGCAGATCCAGCAGATTGAGCTGTCAGAAGCTTAGAAAGCACAGACAGTTATTTAGGTCTATTACAGATTAACCAGACAAGCTGTACATTAAACTCTAGATCTCAAAAGCTGTCACTGCCTTCAGATGATGCAGTTCTATAAACACCCAGACAATGAATCATGTGGAGATGTGTTTTATTCTGGTGATCAGTGGACAACTTCAGCCTTGAGTAACAACCACCCTGCCACCAACCTAATCCTAACCCTAACCTGACCCTCTGACCACAGGAATATTTCTATTCTAACCAACTGTATCCTTTACCAACAGGTCTTACTGATCCAAATGGGTCATGAATTGATTTTAAAACTGCAAGTTTTCCTGACTGATTTAACCCAAAGACTGAAGGAGGTATCTATCCCCATCTCTCCAACCTTCCAGGTAAGATACCTTAACTTGCACAAGTTTTGCCAGGTGCTTTTAACATGTGATTTCCACTGAAACTCAGAAATACAAAGAGATGACATTAAAAGTATTTCTACTGGGAACTGAATAAGGCTGTGCCCAGAAAGGAGAACCAGCCTTCCCAGTAACTCACCAGATTGCTCTCCTCAGGCACTGGTAGTTTTGGGCCACTGACCTCCCTCACAGAGGCATCTGAAATCTTTTCACCAGCCCTCTTAAACTGCCCTGTCACAGCAGCTCCCCCTCAGCTCTGCAGCTGCCAGTGACTCACAGCAGGGTCCTCACTGTGCTTCTGGCTTATTGAAGAACATTTAATGCCAGCCTTGATCCTCGTGTGTCTCCCTCTGACAGGGGCTCTCTCAAGAGGAATCTGTCAGAATTAAATCTACGAACACCATCAAAACTCACCATCTCCATTCTTCACTTCTTGCTGCAGGATGTGAATCAGCTCCTCTCTGACACTGCAAGTTCAACTTTTTTTGGCATCTTGCAGATCCACGTGGGAGTAAATGCTGAAATGAGTCCAACAAGCCATGATTCAGCACACATTGGGCATTCTGGCAATTACTAGTTGAGCTGTCTGTGAGATACACTAAGAAGCAGACCGTGCAAACTTGATTTCCTGGGTTATATTTTAGCTGCACTGCTCAGGAGAGAGGATGACAAGCCCAGGCCTCAGCCTAGCAAATACCCTGCCCAGGATTTACAGCAGGGTTCATATGTAGGCAGGCAGACTATCAAAACATGTGGCTTCCAGGGGGATGAGGGGACCTAAATGACTCAAGATTATTCCCACAGCAGATCTGTACATGAATTTCTCTCTTTCTCTTTGGGCTACTTGTATTTAATACTGAAAATGATCCAGAAGCCCTTACTAATGACAGCTCAGACCTCAATGCAAACAAAAGTCTTTCTCCACTTGGCCTTTTCCCTGGCCAACTCCATTTTACTACAGGATTTTATAGTGGGCTAGTATTGTGCTGGGAGGAGTGGGGAGAAAGAGGAAACAATACTGTTGCACTGCTGAGCTGACTATTTTCATTCCTATATATAACGCACATGGTATGTGCATATATTTTAAAAGACAGTTCATCCCTCCCCTTGGACACCACCCATCCCAACATCTCTTTACCTGCTAAGGAACACAGAAGCTATAAACACAGCCATGCTGCTCAATATTTTACATTTTACCTTGTGGTTTAGGTTCATTTGATCATCCAGGCTATTCCTCATGCTGCAGCCGAGATCACAATGGTTGTTTTCAATTTTACTCTTCCTCTTTTCATTTTGAACAGCCTGTGTTTCCCTGGCTGTCTTTGGAACAGCCTGGAAATTGTCTTCCCCCAACACTTCTTGTGCCTGACATGTCATGGGGGGTGGAATACAGTCACTGGATGGTGGACCCACAGCTTTGGGTAAAAATGTGTTCACTCCCCAAAAAGGGTGATTGGTGTTCTGGGAAGCATCATCAGACCTGTTACAGTGTCCTTCTTGAAAACTCTGCTTAGAAAGCTGACTCATTCTGATTTTTTGGAGCAGCTTCTTTTGCTTCCCAATGGCCTTTAATCTGTCCAGGTTCTCCTCTGTCCTGCACAGGGAATCTGCTGCCTGCTGCAACATGCTCTGAATAATCTTTATATTAAGGACACACTTGCTGATGTGCTGTTCATTTGGGGAAGGACTGTTCCCTCTTCTCCCAGCATCTCCTCTCCTCTGTGCCAGGTCAGAGGCCTCACTCACCTCCTCCTCTGCAGTGAACTCACTGCCCGACTCCGAGGAGTCACTGTCCTCCTCATCCTCACAGGATGCTCCAGAGGACACAGACAGGACTCCCAGGGGACTCTTATCTTCTTCCTTCTGCTGCTTTTCTGCATCCTTTAGAGTTTGATCTAACCCAGATCCCCCTTCCAGGAAGTCTTGGTGAATTTCTGGATAAGTGGCAAAGATTTCATTGATTTCAAAGCTACACAGACTTTCATCCACGTCGCTCTCACTGGGGGTTGTCTGGACTTCAGAAGCCACATCAGGACTTTTGTCCTGTGCAACTGGCTGCACACTGGTTGATGCCTCTTGGACCACCAAAGCCCTGTTCACCTCACGAAAAACAGGGTCTCTTGGGGCAGGAGAGCCATCTGAAAAATTTGATTTTAAGCATTAAGCCATTTCTCCAGAAGTCCATCAAACACGCTGCTTTTGCACATCTGGGAGTTAATTTTAGAGATTACATGAGCGGCATTTAACAGCTCTGCTGAAAACTGTGCCTGAACAACAAATATTAACCAGGCTCAGAGTCTTGAGTCTACATTAACAATTAGAGTGGTAGCTAAAATGCAAAGCCAACTTCTTTCTACTCTCAAACTATGTCACCAAATCTGTAAGTGCTCTCCCATTTTAATTACTTATGTTAGATTGTTATGGACTGAGGAACAACATTAAGTGAAGGACACATCACATCTTGCTACAAGGAACTCACCAGCCGTGGCTGTTTCTTTTTCCTGGAATTCCACTGTTCTCCTCTGGCAGCTAAAAGCTGATGCCCAACAGATGTTCACGTCTGCAAAAACAGCAGGTCTTCTTGCTTTTGATATGTCATCAGCATGACCACTCTGAGATTTAACCAAGTCCTGTAACACACAAAAAAAAAAGGAATAAAATACAGCTATATTTGACAGCTAAGTGTCTCTGCCTTCTCTTCTAAGGTGGTTTCCCTCCAAGATTAAATACTCAGTGCTGGATTGCCTCCCACCCAGACTGAAGCACATCAACTTGAATCTGAATGGACACAAAACCGAAAGATTACAATCCTGGAAGACACCTTTAAGTCATTTTTCAGTATATACTGAATATCCTGAAGCTTCATGGAGCGGTTCCTCTGTTTAGGTTCAAGCCCTGACTTCACAACATCATAATAGAGCATAGGCAGCCTGACATCTGCTTCCAACTGCTCCCCTGAAATCATGAGCTGCTTAATAACTGAGTCTTCAAAACCTTTCCAGGGGGGGCTCTCTGCAAGACACAAGTACAGACTTTATGTCACCAGCTGTAAATCAGTGTTAATTAAAAGAAAAACAGCAGCATTATTGCCTTCCCATCCCCTAATTTACAGCTGCTGTCATGAACCAAATGAGCATCTCCTCCCCATCTTATTCCAACACTGGAGGCTTTAAAGGGAGCTGACAGCAATCTCTAAAGGACAGTGACACTGCAAACAACTGCTCTGGATTCCTCATTACCAACCAGCTAATAGAGGAGTTTATTTTTAGGGTAATTGTTTATCCCATTTCACTGTCAAAGTAGTCACAGTGAATACAAAACATACATTACATTACTTGCAATAACAGTAACAATGCATTATCTGTGTTAACAGTAACTTATCTCTAAGTTATTGCAGTGATCAAAGACATGAAAGCTGCCCAAGCTCATTCTGGGCACTGCAAAGAGTTAACTGAATATTATGAAGAAGAAAAATAAACAGCAGGAAACCACACAAAATTGTGTTTCTCTAATGCCAACGTCAATCTCATCCTTAAGCTACACAATTCTAAGCTTTCTGATTACATTTTACAGAAGTTTCCAGTAATCTTTGTTATTGTCACTAACATTTGGGTTTGGGTTTTTTTTTTTGCCTGGTTTGTTTTTCAAGTTAACTCTGGATGAGCCCTCAGAGCCCAGAGCTGTGGATTTACCTGTCAAGGCCTCCTGCAGCACTGCACAGAAGCTGTAAACATCTGATTTGACTGTGACAGTCGTCTCAAGGACAACTTCAGGAGAGCACCACCTGTACAGCTGGACTGGGACAGGAATTCGGGTCAGATCACTGTGTTCTCCACTGTCTTTGCTGTATAAAGGGGAAAAAAAGTCATAAGTTGGGACACACAGCAGGCTCACACTCAACTACAAGGTGTATCTTCAGGAATTGAACACCTGAGTGTGTCACAGCTTTTAGCTTAAATACCCCCATATGCAAATGCAATATTTCCACTCCAGTGAATGTCTTTTGGCAAAGACTTTCTGGGGAAAGCAACAAATTTGCACTCAAAAGGAATGAAGGAAAAGCTGAGCATTTCCCAACAGGAGCTTTACAAACAACCCTTTAGCTCTGGCTATGGATAAAAATGCAAGAAGGTGCCACCTACCCTGCCAGCATTTATTTTTCAATGTATAGGTGTGCCTAGAAGAGAACTTCAGTAATAATTAACAGAGGAAAGGAACGATGTCCCTCACAAAAGAAACACTCTTTGTATGGCTGGTGGCACTTAATTACCACCAGTTCAACCAGGTGTTGAATCTTGCGTGGTTTCAGGTAAACTTCTGTTTGCCCATTTAACAGCAGCACTGAGGGAAGTTCTTTACCTCTGTATCATGTACTCCAAGTTGCACAGCTTTGCCTCCCCAGCAGAGACAATCTGGATGGCATAGGAGGAAAGGGAACGGTGGATGAAGCCCCGGGAGTGCAGGAAGCGCAGGGCGTCGCTGACCTGCAGCAGCACGTGCAGGATGGTCTCTGTCTGCAGCACTGGGAACTCTGTACGCTGGAAAAAACACCCCAGAGCCACCAAATTTACACTGCAGGGCTTTAAAGCTCGAGCCAGGGGTGATCATCACAGTGCAGAAGGCAGCAAACAAAGCCAACTGAAATACACTGTGCTGAAAATGAAAAGTCAGATGAATTGCACTCGTTTGTTCTCAATACCAACCAAACAGCAATACCTTAAATAATTAAGAACGAAAAATATATTGGCTGTGCCAAAATTCTGAAGCAGAATGAGCTTTTATAATCCCTCGCCTAGGACTGCAATATCTTCCAAGTAATTTAGATGTCTGCACTCAAACAGTTAAAGAAATAAAATAACTCAACTGAAAAAAGAAAAAGGAGAAAAACATCAAATGACAAAGATAAAACACAGATCAGTGATTACAAAAAAAAAAGAACCACAACAGAAACTCAGATACACGACTGAGGATTTTGTCTTCTTTTTCTTTGAGTGAAGATGTTGGATGTAGTTACTAAACTTAATTAATTACTGTTTAAAACCCAAGCATTCCAGTTACCCTTTCATGCAGGATGCTGTACAGGGAGCCAAAGTGAACCCTTTCATACACTAAACGGGTTTTCCCCAGGTCACTGGACAGACAAACAGACATGAGCTGGAGCAAGTGAGGATGGCGGAGTTTGCTGCAAAGGGAGAGGGAAAAAAAAATTTGTAAGGCAAATCTGAGACTGAAAGAAGAGAAAAAAAACACCCAGAAGGACGGGAGTTATCAACATAACACGAATGCTTTTCACTTTTCACTGAAATATATGATTTTAAAAGAACAGATTTTAAGAGTGGGAAGAGACAGAAAGAGAGAACTGTGGTTTTTTAACTGGAAAGGAAGTGCAAGCCCAGCCTGCCAGTCCTCCCGAGGTGAATCCCATCCCTCCTATCCCTGGGGACACCCAAACCCCAGGAGGAACATCCTTCCCCACCTGCTGTGCTCCTGCTCTGCCAGGAGGAGGTCGGCCAAGCGCAGCTTCCAGCTGTGCTGAGGGGGCTGGATGTCCAGTTCCTTCACTGTCACTCTGCTGCCTCCCCACACGAGGCTACAAGGAGGAGAGGAGGAATTTCCACCAGGTGCTCCCTGCAGTATTTTTTTACAGTCATGCAATTTTTTTACGAGGAATTTCGTAATTCTGAAATGCTCTGGTGCTGCCTCCTGCTGTTATTGAGTACCCTGGCTATTGCATCTTCTCTTTCAAACTGGCAATAAACACACCCTGCTAAGGCTGATTTTCACTGTCCAAAAACACCTTTCCATGACCCCAGGTAAAGAATAAGGGCACTCCAAAACTCCTTTCACTAAAGGCCATCAGCCCACTGCGACAGAAGTGAGAGTTTTGGGAAGATTAAATCACCAATTTATCAGCTCTCTGGGTGCCTCTGAGACACAACTATTTGGTTAATATACAACAATTAACACACAACACCAGAGACAGAACTACTTGCTCAACACACAGTAATTAACACACAATGCCAAAGATTTTTTTAAAAAGGCTCAGTCTGCCCTTGCAGCTTTCCTTTCACCACAGGTTTGAGCAACTGGGCTGCCAACATGCATATCAGGAGGCCTGGCCTAATATTTACAAGGGCTAAATGCTGAACAACACAATCTGTGCAACCCCAACCATATTTCCCACCACAAAGGAATCAACATTGAAACACTGCAATCAGTGATTAGCCATAATTGGGTTAAAATTGCCTGTAGGTTGCTCTTGTCCTTTCAGACACCAAGGGAGTCTGATGTTAATCAGTGAATGCAGAAAACAAGTTGCAAGCAAGGAAACAGTGAATAAATATAGAATGGATGTGGAAAACTATCCAAACAAAGCACTGGCACAACCACCTGCTGTGCAATAGTAAGAGAGGGGCTAAAATCCCTCTGATCCCACTTACTTGGTCATGATCATGAACGGCCCAACGTGGTAAGAAAATGCTGGTTCATCATCTGCCTGAACCACTTCTTTCTCCCCAATAATTGGGAGAGATGCCAAGTAGCCCAGGTGCCCATTGCCTGCAAGATAGAACTGGAACAGGGCATAACCAAAGGGATGTGCAAGAGTTCCCAAAACCCATCACGTCTGCCCTGAGCTCATTAATGACATCGGTGCAATCACTGCACCAGGAGCATCAGCCCAAGAACCAGCACGAAATGTTGAGGTTTCAGTGTCAAAAACTTAACTTTTCAATGAAGCTGAAACAGGGAAACCGGAACCAGTCACTGGGAACTCCCAGAGGTGACATTTAACAGGAGTCTCTACTGCCTGTTCCAAAACTGCCTCCTCCGACAGGGCCCATTAACCACTAAAGGCCTGAGTTTTCCTGCTTTTCACAGGGTTTTTTTCCACCATTTCAGTAGAAATAAGAATGCACTAAAAGTTAAAAATAGCAACAGGTGGGATAATTACTGTGAGTCTGAAAAGCTGTTCTAACATCTTTAGAAAACCATTACCCCCAGGATCTTACCTTCCCAAAACCGAAGCTGTAAATGTTCTTGGCTACATTGGCCTCTCCTTTCAGTAATCTACCCAAAGCACTGTCAATGTTTCTGAACAGCAAAAACACAAGCAAGAAGAGTAATTATTATGCCAAGGCTTGGAGCAAAACACAAATTTAGAGAGAGAAAAAAAAAAAGCAGAATTTCTGCAACTGCCACGTAATTCAAATGTTGCATTAGACTGGACCCACACGTGTAATGTGGATGTTAAAATTCCAAATTATTGTGCAACTCATTAAACTTTTTTAAATACACTTGTGTTATGATATGTATTTGTTTTTTAAGCAAGATGGTCAATAAATATATATATATACACCCACACACAGGCATCTTGCATTGCTTTTCATTCACAAGTATGTATTTTTCCCAACATGTAGCCAACACAAAAGCTCTTGAAACAGTTGGAAACACCCCAAAAAAGATCTGCAGTGACCTTAAAAAGCCAAGAAACAAACCACTTCATGTTATCACCACTTTAATGCTACTAAAATCCAGTGCTTTATATACTGATTTCAAGAGTTTCTCTTAATATACAGATATTTACAACCATCGAGTTGCCATTTGGAGCTGAGCCAACAGGAATAAAAAGTACCATCATTCCTGGCACACAGTGGATGTTGTCAAAAAGATACAATTGTTAATTTTAAGACAATAGAATGTGGAAGCAGAATATCTTCTTACCCCTGGACAAGGCCACCAAACCTCGAGGGGCTGGAGACCAGAGCCTTTGATGAGCCAACTTTCCTGAGCAGATCAGAGGGGAAATTCTGAATGGCAGCCTGCATGTGCAGTGTACACTGCTGGATAAATTCCAGCATCTGGAGAGGAAGGGGAGAGGAAAAAAAAACCAAAAGAAGTTACTTCAGAATGAGATAAACCACTTAAAATTAATAAGTCATGACTACTGAAAAAAATAACTGGTTACTCGCAATATTTAAGTGGTATTTTGAGAGATGCATACACGAAAAAATTGAAGAAAATCAATTACATGAAAATGGAAGAAGAGCTTACTTCAAATATTAGGTGACAAACTTGCAAGACTTCACCTGCAGAAAATTGTAATATCAGATTTCTTTTTAAGAGGAGCATTGTAATAACAGGAAAGAGGAGTATCATGAGCTTTAAATCAATACCGCAGTCATGAATAAGCCTTTCTGATGTCACATATCACTGCAAAAATGATCCACTTGCTGGCACTGTTCATGCACAGACTGGGATACACCTGAAAACTACTTCAGGGGCACTCCTGAGTGGCACATCCACACAAAAAAACTGCACATCAGGGGTGGAAAACAAGGAACACAAAGGCCTGTTGTTCTCTCCTTGCTCACTTCTGGTCCTAACAAGTTCCACAGACACATCCCCACAGCTGAGCAACACCTCAGTTAAACCACTCGAGTCATGAGGTCCTCAAAATACCATTTCTGACGTTGAAAAATAGGGCTGAGTAATTATCTAACATGTTGATAATTTTCTAACATGTAACTTTATTCAAGCCAAGGGTTTCTCCCTGGAATGTCGGAGTTTCTCCAGGTTGAGATGAGGATGTGAGCACGTATTCAGGTGTTCACACACATACCTGGGCACTGCATTCCTTCCCAGCTAACAAAGCCCAGTGCTGAGGAGTTCTCCCATATTTATCATGGGCTCTCAGGTCACCTCCTTCATCCAGTAGCTTGCTGAGGATCCACTGGTTTCCTGAGAAAGCAGCTGCATGGACTGGGGTGCTCCCGTCGAGACAGCGACTGAGGAACAGCAAAGCAGGAACGTTTCATGTTTGGGTCTATCCCTGCTCCACTCACCAGTGGAGGGGGAAAAAGCAGCACACCTGGAATGTTTATGTACCCCCAAGTAACAAAATTCCTCTTAAAATAAGGAAAATTACACACTCACCTCTGAGGAGCTTTGGCTAAAACAGCAATGTGCATCTTAATCCCTTTTTCATTTTATGTACAGTGAATATTGGGCAGCACGTTGACCAAACCCACTAAAAGGTTAAATATTCGCTTTGGTTTTAAAAAGAGAAGCATTTTATACTCAACTGATTGGCGTCCGAGCCGTAATCCAAGAGCACATCCACGATTTTACTGAGACCCAGCAAGGCAGCAGTGAAGAGACAAGTCTGGCCCATGGAATTCACGGCATCAACCAAAACACCTACGGAGGAAACAGAAGATTCTGAGGTGGTGCTCGTTCTCCCCTCACCCCAAACAAAACCCCACTGATCCTGATGATGATATTCCTCCCCCTGAGGCACCGCAGGTATGAAAATATAGTAACAGAAATTGAAAAGAAGAACAAATGAGTTTCCTTGCGACTTTCTATGTGTGTCAGGCACTGCTCGTGCACAACGATTTTAAATAAAAATAATAATAAAAGATGGTACTTACATGAACTTATATGTACTGTCTAAGTAAGGAGTAAGTGCTTATGTACTTACAAATATGTATTTATAAGTACATTATAAATACATTATATGTACATATATATACATTATATTTACATATAAGTACATCATACGTACATATATGTACATATAAGTACATTCATTATATTCCATTCTTTATATGTACATATATATAAATATGATAATATGATATATAAATATATATCATATTACACATATACTATATTTCATACATAATATATATTATATATATTGCATTCTTTACATGTACATTCTTTTTATGTACATATAAGTACATTGTTTATATATTACATTAAATATTATATGTAAGTACATTTTATGTACATATATGTACATATAAGTACATTATACATATATGTATATACTTGTATATATATACATATATATGTGTGTATATGTGTATATATATACATATATGTGTGTATATGTGTATATGTATATATATGTATATATACATATGTGTATATATATATATATATGCACTTTTGTGTACATATATGTATTTGTAAGTACATATAAGCCCTTACAAATGAGATGTATAACTTACATATCCATCTCTGTAAGCACAGGAGGATGAGCACAGATAACACCAGAGGAGGGCATTAATAAATACCTAAATTATTCTTAAGTAGCAAACAGGAATTAGGCAAGTGTTGCGTTATTTAAGTGACTTGGCTCAAAATAGTGAATTCCATTCATTAACGAGGAAAGGGTAAGGGAGGAACCCAGTGGAAGGTGATGAGTCTGACACAATAACAGCGTGGTGAAATCAGACGCTTACTTAAAGTCAAACTGTTTTTGAACCCCAATAAAAAAAGGCCCAGGCAGC